ACGCATATTTTTGCAGCAATTACTTCAAACTTTATGGGTAAAGAGATTAATTAAAATTTTTCATAGCTGTGTCAAACGAGTTAATCAAGCAGTATTTGAGCTATGCTTGTCGGCTTGTTAAACCAGTTGAGGGCGATCGAGGGAGCTGAGAAGGCGATCAAGGCGGCGAGCTACACTACCGACCGGTGAAGCGTGCACGAAGGCTGTCTGGTGGGCGCAGATAAAGTGGATGTGATTAACAATTTCCAAAAGAATCTCTGCTATGGTAACAGTCCAATTCTGTAAGTAGGGCAAGGGTATTGAAAGATGGCGATAACATAACTTACCTTGCGACCCACTATTGCTCATTTACCCATTGTTAGCTATCAAAGTGCTGTGTTTGTTAGATAAAGAGGTACAATTTATATTGAAAATCACTAACTGCAGGTTTTGAAATTGTGTTGTCCAACATGTTCCCTATTCTGTCATCAAACACACCTATTTTACTTTCATTAAAATAAAATAATGGAGCATTTGGTGCTTTGATGCTTTCCACATCGCTGAAAAGTCGAAAATGTTAAGCTCGTTTTCTTGTACTCATCTTTGGCTCGCGTCTTCGATGGGTTGGAAACAACAGTTCTCAAAGGTTGCGTACTAAGTGGCACTAATGACATTTGTGACACGAGGCAACGATGAAAAGGAACTCATTCGCCTGACAGTGCGTGCGACGCTAAACTGATCACAGTCAGTAATGGATTTAAAAAATACGATTTCGCACTTGTTGACCATTTGCTAAGGCAAAAATAAATGAACACGAAACCGGAAGCCACGAATGTGGTTAAATTTTTTACCTTTTAGTCTGTTGTCATCAATGAGCACTAAGCAATGGATTATAAAACAAACCTCAGGTTAAATTAAACAGAAATAATGCAGTCAGTGGGAGTAGTGAATAGTTCTTAAAAAGCCCGCAAACGCTCACGTTTAGGGAATGGGAATGGACATGGATAAGTGGACCGCTGCCTGTCAATCGATGGTCTGACAAAGGGAGGCTGTGAAGCAACCACACGCCTCAGGCCAAATGGCAGAGAGAGCAGGAGAGAGAGAGAAAGAGCCATAAATAATGTCACAATGCAAATGTTAGGTAAGCTGATTGTTAGTTGGATGAAGCCCTGAAAAATAGCTTCCTTAGGTGGACTGACTAAAGAAAAGTGCCCAAATATCTTTCAATGGTACAATAAAATGGGGAAATGCCGGTAAATTTTTAACCCTAAAGCATGACCATTTGCCTTTACTAGGCACAAAATTGCAAGACTTACTCGCTATACCGAACTCGAAGAAAATCTATTAATTCAGAATGATATTTGAAAAAGGTATGGAAAGTGGTTTCAATTTCATTTGATAGCACTGAAGTTACTACAAGTCAATTACAGCCCTCTTTTTGGAAGAATTTGCGTAGTAGGCCAGCCAACGATACGCGCTCCAGCGTAGACCGCAAGTTTTAGCCAACTGAGCTACTAGACAGGCGACCGGGCGATTTAAGGGCAATAAAGTTTTCATTGGAAGAGTTTAAGCCTTAACTCAGTACTATGCGAAAGGCATTTGCATTAGACGCTGCCGCTCTTGCTCTTCAGTCTCCGCGACTTGGACTTCCGCCCTCGAAGAACAGATAAATCGGTCAGTTTCCGCCGCCTTATCCCCTTCTACTTATTTATGGTCATCCTTTTCCGTTTGAGCTAAAATACAACCTGAGACAAAGTAGTAGTAGTAGCTGGTGTCCATGTATCCATCTTAAGTACAATTTTACGGTCTGTGGGTGCAAAATTACTCAAAGTTACTAACCCAATAGGTCGTCCAATTCCTTGGGGGTGATGAAACAAAGCAGCGGTTCCTCCAGTTATCACGTCCCGTTTCACAATGGAGAATTGAATTAAGGTTGTGCTCGTCACTTATAATCGTGATAAATGGAAACACTTGGCGCACCCTCAAATTTAACTAAGTCCATTTTCATCGGACCCCTTGGAATGTCAAAAGTTGGAATCCTAACAGCTATGCGGCAATGTTTCCATTTTCTTAAATGTCAAAAGAGCTACATAGCAGGACGCAAAAATATGTCAAAATTCCCAACGTCCTACCATCGTCATCTTTATTGAGGCCAAATAGAGGTCCTCCTTCTTGCGAAAGCTACATTTTACTTAACTTCCTCCCTTCTGTCTAATAAAAGCACAATTTTAAGACCGGTTGTCGTTGGTGGAGACAAAAATAAGCATTTTCTTGGTAGGAACAATGATTAAGGTAGGAGAACGGAAGCAATCAAGTGTGCTGCTAAAAATAAAACAGCAAAATAAGGGAAAACGTTCTGACGCAGCAAGAAATGAACCGCACCTTTAGGCAAAAAAACTTCCTGGAGGGGATTTTCACAACATATTATGAGACTTATTGCACTAGGAATAAAATTCGGTTTAAAAGGAAAAAAACAAGTTTCGTTTTTAATCTACCCATGTATTGGTGGTAGTTTAAGATCCTACTAGGGGTTGATTAGTCATCCACTCCCTGTTGAAGATACGTAAATGAGGTAGGAAAAAGCATAAATTCGAAGTATACACTTTCACCTAGTTTAAAGACAAATGAAAATATGCAAAATAAATATATTATTCTACAACCAAGGGGAACATTCTCTTCAGAATCAGTTACGTTGCCCTCATTTGGGACCATCAGTCCGTTTCGCTCCGAACGTCTGACGTTTAAAGCTTAGCGCGTTAGGTTACTGATTTACTGCCAAGGTTTGCCTAAATCTCGCTAAATGGAACATTCTGCTGTACATCTAATGATTGGATGCTAAAAACCTGCAGTTTCTGATTTTTAGACAGAAAACGTACTGAGGCGGAATTGCTTCTGGCTGCCAAAAGGAGACGCTTGTTAAATCCTCACCAATCTTAATCGTTACCGAGGCAAAATACAAATAATTTTTGTTTGTTCAACCAAACTCACTCAACCCTAATTCCGGAAAACGTCAACATAGCCTTACCACATGTACAAGAACCGACCGTTCGGACAGACGTTATTGTGTGTCGACAAATTATTGCAACTAACATTTTGCCTCGAATTGCCATTCAGTGCTTCGTTGATTGGCGAATCAGCGATTTCGTAAACTTATGAAACTATTGACGATTCCTGCGGTTCACGGCCGACATTGATTTAAGTACACACGCATTATCGATCGGAATAAGATGACTCATATCGGAGGGGAGAAATCGATAGTTCGCACGTAATGATCGATCGATCAAGACCCCTTGAGATGGGAGTTCTGGAAGTGAGCGCTACTTGGTTTTGTGATATTTTACTATGACCTTGAATTTGTTTCTTCACCATTACTAACCTACACTGTAAAAAGTGATTTCGGCTGTGGATGGCATCGCAAATTGATAGTGCAACTATTCGAAGGCGTTTTGCAGAGTCCTCTTCAGGTCATCTCGAGGATAACTTCAGTTGGTTGTGCTAATACCCGCCTCTGCGTGGGGACAGACACAACCCAGAGGTAAAGAGGGTCATAATTCATTTCACTTAACCTCTTGGTGTCATGAGAGCCCATGCAACCATCACATCTAAAGCCTTCACAAGGTGTCACGACCCACCACATAGCCTAGCCTGACCGTAGTGATGAAGAAATTCAAATACTCTGCCCGCTGACTAAAAGCACTATGCTACCCACATTTTTGTCTAAATATCCACTGAACCCTTATTAATGCTTGGTGAGTCGACTAAGTGCATCAATGCAGTAGGAACGTTCTTTGATACTAGCAGATTTAAATTTATGGCATTGTAATAAAATGGTTGTGTTAATTATGAAAACAAAGTCAACTGCATTGATGGATGTCTACAGGCTGGTAATTTTATTTGAGAAATAAACTTTCATGATCGATGAGGTGTAAAAGGAAGCCTTGAAAGCACAGAACGCATCATTGAATCAGTCGTAATGGTCTGCTTCTTTAAAAGCGGAAGAGGAGATGTCAAACCGATGCTTACATTTCCCGCTCAAAAACACCCATTAAATCGAGTAAACAACAACTAACTCTAATTACATGTAGGATAAAAATAAGATTACAACCATACGTGCCTCTGCCATCAGACGAATCTTCACTGCCAAACTCAAATTGCTCAGGTCATCGTTTAAAGAAGTTCGCTCCTCCTCATCCATAGCCTGAGATTGAATATTTTAACTTGCTTATTTTATCAACATTTAGTGGTGTCAGTTGCGGAGACGGCGGGCCAAAATAAATAGTCATCCTAAGTACGCAATTTCGGAATGACAGTAAAAATATTTATCATTCCCACCAGTTTGCAAAAGTGCGCCTTCATATTGAGTTAACCATTCTCTTAAGTTTAAAAAGGTGCAGAATTGTCGATCCTTTTGAAGGCGCAGGCTTCTGATCCCGCTCGACAATGCGTGGCTTAAAGCCACTCAGGCCTTTTGCCATCAAAGGTATGTCCTCTAAAAATTCAACAAATTTGCTACAATTATATGCCGTAGCAAGTCACAATACGTTAGCCATCATCGATCCCATGGGTAACGCTTGAAGGCCAATGTAAACTGATTCGTTCATTGCAGAGATACAAAATCGACACAATTTGGGGAGCCTGTGGGCTTATGCCCTGAGGCATTTCGAACTTTCAAGCAGTATACTGCTGGAAAAACGTTGCTTTAAAATACGATGGAAAGTAAAATAAAAGCTATTACAACCTAAGTAGTCAGTCATGGTGCCAACTATCTGCAACTTCAAAGAAAGGAGAAAACCGGGTGGGGCAATTGTCGCCTAGTGTCTTCTTCGGGCATAGGTCTTTACGCCATAAATGTATTCATTTTTATGCGCAGTAAAAGCTGGTAATCGCTGCATGACTCAAAATTCCAAAGAGCACCTTGGAGGCAAATCATGCGGGAGAGAGGATTTTTGCAACCATGTTGACCTGAGCATCAACAATTGAAGCCATTGGGGCAGGGACAAATGCGCAGGTGCGTCACGTAGATGCGGATTGGTCTCGACGCTTCCTTCACACTCATACCTCCACCTCCCACCCAAGTGACTCAGGCCTGTGCCACATCTGACCTCCCATTCAACCGACGCGTGTCCGTGTGTCCGTGTGTGTGCGTGTCAACTGCTGTAGCACACGCGAAACAATAATCACACAGCACCCTTCTCTGGTCCTTGCAGCCCACCAGTGCAGTGAGTTGCTCGAACACCTCCCCAATTGACCTTACCACAGTGGTGGCGTGGTGATACTGAGCCCTCACTTCACCCACAACCATTCTCGTGGGGCAGAGATGGGACAAATCAACAACTCCTCACAGTGGAGGAGAACAGAGGTCGAAGCACTCAACACTGCCTGATTGAAGGAGTCGATAGGTGTCAAAGGAAACCGTTGAATGTGTCTCACGCCTGTCTCCTCGGACACGCACAAATTCCTCCCTTCAACTGTGTTGCTGCAACAGCCAAAACACACAAAACTGCTGCCTCCTCCTCCTCCTCCTCCTCCTGCTCGTCCTCCTACGAGCCCCTTTTTGCTTTGGCCTTTGAGCCATCGTAGGCGTTTGTAGCAACTGGGTAATTCAATTGACTTAGCATTGTGGCTCACAGCAGTGAAGCACGGCCAAAACAGAAAATCCTTTTAATAGATAACAAACAATGGTGACGGTAGAGACGAAGGGATTTGAAAATAACATTAATTGTGGATCGTAAAATTAATTGTTGTGATGATGGTAGTAGTAGCAGGAAGAGGATGGGGAAGATAAGAAGAATGGAGCTGACTTTGGTAGGCGATTTGACGGCCTGTGTTCGTAGCATCTGCGACAAGGCCATTACTAGGCAGTGCGCCAGTGAACTTTGGAGGTTTACGCATATTGTGTAAAGTGTGCAGTGTTGCTAAACCCCATGAAATTGCAAAATCAGCAGTCCAGGGGTTTGTCACATTAACCATGCCTGTAATTTGCATTCTCCCTTCCTGTACACCACAAATCACTTAGAAACGGTTTCCCCGTGAAGGCCTGCTTATGCGCAACACTTTTACGCTGCGCCAGTGCAGACGATTTCGTAAATGCCAACCTCGAAAGTTTTGGCAAGTTTGGCTTTGGCATATAAGTAAAAGCACCACGTACATGTTTGTGGTTTGGATGGTCACGTCGATAGCTTGAGCCTTTTTGTTAGAAGTGGCATCGTCTAGGAAAGAGGGCTAAAGGAGATAGTGAGAAAGAACAAGATATTGACAGCTGCATCAGTGTGTGGAACCCGTAAGATTGAAGTTTAAATGAAGGTAACGCAATGCCAGCATAGCCTTAGAGGCATTGTCCTTCCCACTCAATGCCAAAGACGAGAGCTTCCCTTGAGGCGATTGGATTTAAACACACATGCACTAACTGTTTCAATAGCGTTTTTCCAGTTTTCCGTGCGTGGCAGTCCTCGTGCACAATCCTATCCAAGCGCACTTTTACATTCCCTCTATCCCAAGTCGGTGGAGGAAAAGCTCAGCATCTGATTGATAAGGTAGCTACTATTTGGTAACCAAGAGCTCCAGGTTCTTATCCAAACTCACTTTTCACAAATATTTTGTGGCCATCAATCAAGCTGGGATGATGGGATGCCATTCAGGTGGGATGATCGAAGCTGACATGGTGGGAACACAAGGAGCTGCCCAGTGGAACTTGCACTGCGTGCCAGTACGGAGGTTGAAGGGAAAGCAAGCAACAAGACAATAAAATAATTGCTTTGCTCACAAATAAATTTCTGTGACATCCATTAATCTCTTCAAAATTGTCAGCATAGGCCTTAATAAATGTTAGCTCTTGGTTTGTCAGTCCAGACGGAGGTGGACATAACCAGTAGTTTAGGTGACTTCATGTTCAATACTTTGACAGTTGTCATTTCGTTGGTTACTTACTCGTCATCTATTTAATGAGTTTCAATTTAGAGGCTTTTACTAACTGGCGATTTTGATATATTTCTCGACTATGATTTAGCTACCAGGCGTTCAGTTTAATAAGAAGGGCTTACCGATTACATAAAATTTTGCTACCAACATTTTTTCCCTCATGCATTGAGCAGTAGACCGCAGCTAAACTTGTAGTACGTTGGGGGTTGCAAATTTGAAGGTTCAACTGCCAATCCAAGGCACAGCAATTATTCCAGTGAACCTTTTTAGCAAGGTATCTTCCATGTGACAAGTCGTCTTTCGACAGGAGTGGTTGTTCATGATGGTCAAACTGCCGTAAGACACATTATAAGCTTCGCCTTTGCCGTTGGCAACGAAGATATTGGGAGACTGTGAGAGGAATGAATTACAGTTGCCATTAAAAAGTTGCGGGGGAAGATTTGAGCTTACAACCTACACCATCGCTATTTCTAACTACGGCTAGACAAAACATGATTTAAATGTGTTAGCAGGGAATACTTTTGTTTATACTCATTTCACTTTCGTAACCACTGAACTCTGAACGGTATTGCTTCCATTTCTAGTCGCAAATGTGGGCAAATTTCAAAGACAAATCTGTCATGGTGAAAGCTTATCCATAATGCACTGCTTAATTGGTGGTGCAAGCATTCAGGGCGGAAGATGATGTTTTACCTTGTCCCTGTCGTGATCCCACTAGGGTACCATCTAAGGAGGATGCTAGCAGGCTCTCATTTCCCAAGCTCCTTTTCATAATCTCCCAGAAGCGACTTGAAGGACCATGCTGCTTTACTTTTCTTCCCAAGTTCGGTTCGTGTTCCAGAAATTCTTTGCATGCTTCAGATAAACTGGAATTTGGGTAATGGTGTTCATTCCTTTGGCTGCACATTAAGGAGGTAAAATTAGTGGGACGTAAAAGGCTTAGACAACACTATTGCAGCATCCACAGAACAAATGCATGTCTTCTGAACTAACGCATTATTGTTTTAGCTATTTGTTTATCCCGTTGATAAGTACTTGTTCAGTTAGGTAAGGCGTAATTGCTGATTTGACTCTTTGTTCCGCCCTCACAAGCACTTTAAGCTCTTTGCTTTTGCACTTTTGCTGAGTAAAAGTAATCTTTAGTTCATATCCACGGCACTTCAGCTCTCCCCTTCGTTGGCAGCCTATTTTGTCGTTGCAGTGTGGCGTACCTTGGTACCAAGGGAGACAGTTGACGAGAGGTTTGAAAATGACTTCCATCTCGGAACCATACTGAAACTATCCCCTGTATCGACGCGAAGATTTTGATGAAGTGGACACAATGCTTCTCCCTCTATTCCTATACCAGCTGACCAGGGTCGAGAGAGCTGAGTGAGCAATCCTAAAGCGAATAGAGGGAACGAAGTGAAACAAACGAGGCTATGTTCAGCTCCGTCCTTAATTAAATGACCAGCAATAAACGTGCGGGTTGGAGTGCACAGCTCCACTGTCCCCAACGCTAGCACAATAAAAGTGTCAAGGAAATATATTTATGTTCCGACCAAACGTCTTGCTATTTCCGTTTAAATTCCACGTGAGACAATGTTTGCTAGCAACGGATCCTGTAGTGGTCAACGTGAGGGTCGACCAAAGGTAAAACTGAACTAGACGCCCACGAGGAGAGAGGGGATAAGTAGTACTTTGATCAAGGATCCAACTCTGCTTTCTGCTTCTACCCGTAGACCCGCAGCCCTTCTGTTTGGTGAGAGCATTGCGAATTCCTTCCACTTCAGAAGACTTACAGCATTGCAAAAATGTTGGGTAAGCTGTTGATTAGTTAGGTGTTTTATTGAAGCATCACCAGATCATCAAAAGGCTCTTTTGGGTGATTTTGCATCATCCTCGAGAACGTTGCGTCAAGCCCAAATGATTTTTACCACTCTGGTTGGAAGGGCAGTACTCATTTCCAAGTGGAATGGCAGATTAATAAAATTATGAGTTCAGAATTAAAGAGCTCCGAACTTATCAATTTCTTTACTGGTAATCCTGCAGACAAAGTACACATACGAATGGCACAAAGAAGCTGCAGTAAAATCATTTAAGTTTCACAAAAGACTCAGTCTGCAGTTCATTCGATATCGAGTTCCCTTTATTGTCACTGAAGTTCCCTTGTCGGAGTGGATTTAAGCTCCATCATGAGGCAGATAACATTAACAAGACTTACGCTTTACTCTCTGTGACGCCGGCTGTGACTCCGTAAGAAGTCGTTTTGCCTTAGACAGTACAACAAATACGCCTTCCTTTTTTTGCATTTGAATTTGGAACATCAAAGAGTCAAGTTTACGCCTGTGGTATCGCCTCAGTGCACCGTTCTGAATGAAAAAGCCTCATTACGTGTACAAAAAGGCTGAGACGTAGTAGTGCATTAAAATTACCAGTACCACATCTAGTTAATCATTTTTTGTCGACTTTTAGTCCCTTTCTTCGGAATACTTGATGCCGTCGTTACTAAGCGGCACCGTGCAATCACCATCGCTTCCGCATTGAGTGAGCGAACTGCGCCAGATTTGCCGCCACCACCGCTTTTATTGTTGCCTGCCGCGGCTGTTCACAATGCTAATCAAGATAAACACAACTAATTGAATAAAATTGGTTTTCTTGCTTGAATCTTCTTGTGGTCGAGTGAGTCTTTTGCCTTTAGAACGTGCCTAAGCCAGTGAGAGTTAGTCGGCGTCACTGAGCCACACGACTCTAAAGAGGGAAATCGTGCACAAGGCTTGTAGCAGGTCAGGTTACTATGACATTAGCGTGATCCCCCGAATCACAAAAGCACAGCTTGCCAAGATAAAGTTTTTATAACAGTAATTGAGAAATACCGACAATAATGTGGTTAACAGTGCGAACTTTGAAACCAGCAAAAATAAGCACCGGATATAAGCAATTAGGCAGTGTACTTTTAACACCCTAATCTCCATCCGACGATAATGACGAGTTAATCTTTTTCCACCACAAAATTAAAAAAAAGTGCCTTGGTCATGGCAAAACGTTGCCAATCAAGCAAAGGAAGGGGACAGATCCTTATGTTGTCACTATTGTTTTGGTTGGTATTTGACAGAAGACCTAATTTTCACACAACCTTTCACAATTGTGTGTAAGAGCTTTAAAAAACCGACAATTTATGAGGCTTTATAAGGTGCTCATTCGTTTGATCATTTATTTGACAAATGTTTTCCCCAGAGTGCATTTACTTGGACTAAACCAGGTAATTGGTACATCTCCACCACCTTTTTGCCATTAAAATCATGTGATAGCAAAAATTGAGATGTAGAGTTGAACTGTTGAATGCATGGTCGAGTGCATAGCTTTACCTCCCCTGTATGGTCCGAAAGCAGGATCAGTCAAGTAACTCTAATGATAGGCACCAAATGGTTTCCAAATGTTGCTAAAATGATAGTAAATGTAGCTTCTATAGCAAAAGAACTTATGGGTGCAAGGATGTCCAAGAACACGAATATCATCAACATTCTTCGGGGCAAATGTATATTTTAAACAGTACCTGGTGAACTGGGGACGGTCCAGCTCATTCAGTCTAGGTGGAAGAGGCGAACGCCAAATCGACTGCTATATCATGCCATCGCAAAATAGAAGTGGCAGGTGGAAGATAGATAAACATAAAAATAATT